AGTTGTATGTGTGACTAGTTATACTCTCACAATATATATTATTACCTACTATCAAATAACTAATAAAGTTTTAGCTGATAGCATTTGTATAAAGTAAAAAAAAAAAAAAAAAAAAAAAAAAAAAAAAATACTAGAAATAGTTAATTGAGTATAAATTTTTTTAAACAATACTTTATTAGCTAAATTAGAAAATTATACTATTTTTTATATATTTATAGTGATTTACTTTATAGTTTTATGAAATAATGATCAATCTAATATAACTTTCTAATTTAAGTATTGTTTTTTTTTATTTGTTATTTTATTAGCACTATACTAAACTGTTCTAAGTTGAATTTTAGATTAATATCATTTTCCTTTACCTTTTAGCTATCTCCTCAAAAATTAAAAAAGCTAATTATATAATAAAATTTATTTAAAAACAAGGTACATAAGAAATTTTGATATAAATAGTCATGATTCTTAGAAAAAATCATAAGAAAACAATATTTTGGTATTTGTTTAAAGTTAGTGTTTGTTTAAAATTTTTCTTTTCTTTCTTATGCCTAAGCTCAAAATTCTGATATTAACATCAACTTGGAATAGTCTAATTTATATATATTTTTTTAAATCTAGTTTAACTTTAATAATAAAAATATTCTAAGCAGTTGAATATTAGTAGAACAGAATTTTTATTTATATATTATTGAAATATAAATTAGCATATCATTATAAGTCATAGGTTTTTAACTAAATTATTTCTTTTTCTTTTCTTTTATTATTTATTTATATATTATCTTTTATTTTTATTATTATTTAGCCTTTTCATTATTTCAATTACACTTTATAAGTTATTTATTGTTAGACTGCTCATACTTTTATTTATATTTAAGAATTGTGATAATAATTTATGTAAATATTAGGGTGAGCAGTTAAGGCTAATTGCTTAAGCTATAACAATAAATTATAGAAATAATAAATATAGAAGTAGCAGTATATCTTTGTACTATATAGGGCTTAATTATAACTGCTTACTAGTAAGAAGAATAAGCTTAATATTAGTATTAGTATAGTCTTTTCTAAAAAATAAATTTTGTATAAATATAGGTTCTCCTCGCTCTTTCAGAAGTTAGAAAGTTATAAAGTTATGAATTAAATTATCTATTAATAAAATAAATCACTATTATCTTAGAAATCTCTAATTCTTAAATTCTCAAAGTATAAATGCTTCTAATTAAATAATTAATTCTTTATTACGTTTTTCTCTTTATTTATTAAAGAATATACTAGATCTCTTAATTAATATAAAGAAAGTAAGCATTAAGGCTGAATAGACCTTTCATTAAGTAATTAAAAATATATTCTTGATAAGTTATATAGAAAGTAATATTACAAATAATATTATTATTTAGATTATTAGATGATTTAGATATTATAAGTAATGATACACTATAGAATTGTTAATAGAATCAATTATTATCAAAATATTACAATTGTTTATTTATTGGTATTGTGATCAATATTTGAATTATATTGAAGTTATTAGTTTTATTATAGTATATTTAATAGTAATACTACTCTTATAGATATTAATTTATTCAGACTTATCCTTAAATTATCATCTCTTTTACTTTACAACTATTGACCTAAATATAAATACCCACTGATATTGCTTACCTTATAGTAATTAAATTATTAATCTCAGTATTATATTAACTATCAGAGCTAAACTATACAACATTACTTGCTTTCCTAATTTAAGATAGTAATATTATATACGAATTAAAGTATTTTACTAAATAATCTGTAATTTTGATATAGTAATTAAGTATTTGTTTTTTTAATTATTTGGTTAGTCTATCTCTTCTAAATTTTTACTATATAATATAATATTTTCTACAAGCTTATTAAATACATCACTATTATTTTAAATAAAATATCATTTCTATATATATTCAGCAAAATAAATATTATATAGATTTTTAGAAGTTCTATATTATAGAAGAGATGCTTTTACTAATTACTAATTTGATTCAATTGTATTTGTATAAACTCTAATTTCAGGATCCTTAAAATGTTTTAAATAATTAACTTTTCTATGCTTCTATTTATATTTTTTGAAGTCTTCTATTTGGTAAGCTAACTAACAATTACTATAAATCATTATTTCTTTTTCTATATATTCTTCTAAAAGTTTTAATAAGGTCTCTTTTGTTTGATCTGATACTAATACAAAAATATATTATTCAATTCTCTTTTAATACTACCAAAAACCTATTGCTCTTCTACTCATTTTCTTTTATTATATTTACATTTATCAAATTTACTTTTATCAATTTTTATGATTTTTTCTTTACTACTAATTTTTTTATATTTTTGATTTATTAATACTATACTACATATATTATAACAGAAATTATACCAATCAACTATTATTTTAGGTGTAATACTAGTTTTTGAAATAGCAAATTTTTGAGACAATTTATATTACCAGCAAAATATAATTTTAGCAATTTGAGCAAAAGACAATTTAGATCTTACTAACTATATTACTGCTCTTATAGTAGTAGTATAACCACAAGCAGTTTTTAAAGTACAAGTTTATTTTTGTTTATCACTATGAGAATTATCTTTTGTTTTATATATAGAACTTTAGCATTTAGAATAAAGACATATTATGAGAAGAATTTCAAAATTTTCAAAAAATTTAATAGCACTTTCTGTATTCTGGATATTAAAATAAATATCTTTATAAGTTTTTACCAACATAGGTGATGTTGACAATTGTTGAACTAAAAATAAAAATTTTTATTCATTATCTTCTGTCATGTTTTTATTTTTATTAGCAGGTCAATAAACAACTAATATAAAAAATTATGTATAGTATACTAATTAGCATCTCTTTGTCAAAAGGGTTAAAAAAAAATTTGTATAGTAAAAATTATACTATATATATAACAATTGAATAGATAATTAATAAATAATAATAGTAATTTGTACTTTATATTTGAAAGAGAACTTTGTATATGTTTATTATTTTTTAATAAAAGAGAGTAATAAAGATTCTTAAACAGTGAAATAAAATACATCTATTATATACATTATAATTTAATAAGCAGACTGAAGTGTTATATTAGCTATAACCAGTAATTATATCTTATATGATTTATGTGATATAAATAATAATTATAGCAGATATAATATCTAACCCTCAATTATCTCTTCATATAGAAATAGCTATAGTGACTTAAGCAACAGAAGAGACCAAAGTGATTGCAAACCTATAATTAGTTTGGTCACATGAATATGTAATTACTTGAGATATCTTGTTAACTAACTTTTTTTTTTAGTTAACAGTTAGTGGTATTGTTAGATGGTTAGATACTAGCATTTTGAGTTGCAACTGTATAATAAGTAAATTTTTCTTGTATACTTGGTTATAGGGTATGAGTAATCATATTTGTGATGAATAAACATTTGCTATATATTTTACATAGAAAATTCTTATTCATCACAAATGATTAGTTACATCCTCAAATATAAATATTTGAGGCATGACTAATCATTTGTGATGAATAAGAATTTTCTATATAAAATATATAGCAAATGTTTATTCATCACAAATATGATTGCTCACACTCTTCTTAAGTTTTTTTTAGCATTACATTTTGCATAAATTTTATATACACAATATGTTACTTCAATACTCAGTTGTGACATCACTAACTATATATACGTATTTGCTTGTTTAATATATTATACACTACCACTACTATTTGTATTACTCATTATCAATAAGTATACAAGTAACACTAAAAACGCACAATACTATAGTACTAAAAAAGTTAGCTATATACACTTTCAAATCTTATTCAAAAGCTCAAAAAAAAAAAAAATTTGATTTTATTCAATTAATAAAATGCGATTAATCTTGATATTTGTTTACATTTTTTAGCCAATTAAAATTATTTTGTGATTATATGGAGAGTGATCATCCATAATCATCTGTGATCATCACTGGGTTGACTGTTGTAATTTTTATATTGTAAATTATAGTCTAGTGAAACCAGGCAATGTAGCGAGTCAGTCGCTCAATAATCCAAATACTTGTATAACCTATAGTAGGCTTTACTGGAAAGAAGGCATGTTAAATTTGGCGAGTTGGTTGGTTTTATAAGTAGATATCTCTAATATCCAAGTAGTTTCTATTCTATCCTTAACTTTAGCTATACTACACTACTTCGGGCAAGCTAGACAAATTAAACACAGTTGTACTAAGTATATTAGGTTAACAACTGAACAGGATAATAAATTTAGGGAGGGTCACATAAACAAGTGTTTATAGAGAGACAAAGTTTATCACTATACTACTTAGTAACAAACTCGAGTTAGGTATTTTAGTGGTTAGGGGGTTTAGTGAATTATTATTATGTTATTATAATTTATTGAGTCAGATTATTATTGTTTAAAGTGAAGTTGGGAACTCTGGAACTTCAACTAGAGCCATTTCAGCCTTTATTTATAATATTATTTTGGCCTCTCTACGAGTGCCTGATTACATCTATTATTTAATAAAATCCTATATCTCTATTATATCTAATGATGTTTAATAAAATCTTTTATTCAACATATAACCCATTTGATCTGATTTCTATTATTTAAAATCTGATCATCCTTTCTAGTGATAATATGCAATAAATTGCATATTTTGCAGATTTTGAATTTTTCACATAATTAGTATCACATTTCTGAGCCCCATGATTATCTTTCGGGCTCACATTTCTCCCTCACTTAGGTTATACATACCATGCATAAACTCAGATACTAGAAGTTTATCCATGATAACATATTTAGGTAAGTATTTAGACAGCTTTTAAAATATAAGTTCACCAAAAACTTCAGGTCTTCAAGCTTCAATAGGCATTCATTGTTGGATTAAGTCGTGGATCATTTACACAAGATAAGTTATCTTTTAATTCTTTGTCTTTTTGTTTTTGACCCATTTTACCAACATCTATTTTTCACTCATTATTTTCATTAGGTTTTTTTTCTACCTCATCGTCTTCTTTCTTTAGCGGCAGCTCTGGCTTGATCTGCATTGCGGTTTCTCTGAGGTTAGGTTCATCAATATCCTTACAAATTAACTTTCTTTCTTCTTGTATCAACTTCTTAGGTTTTGATTCACATGTTTTGATTTCATCAGCTTCTTTTTCTGTTGATAACTTTCTTTCTATTGGCATTGGTTCTGCTCTTTTGTCATTGGTTTCTCTTGGTCATTTGATTTAAATAACTCTTTCCAACTATTTTTTTCTTTGTCTTGCTTTTGTTTTTCTGATTTCACAATTTTCCTTCTAGTCTACTAGATTTGACTTTGACCACTTGATTGGTCTCAGACTTCAGAATAAGAGGTCCTTCGGTTTTGCAATTTTCATCGCTTGCTATTTTATTTCTTATTACTGGTTTCAGGGCCCATTCACATATTATTTTTCTACCCTTTATTGTATCTTCATCCTTTTTGATTCCAATTCTGAAGAAATAACAATCATAAGCTTCATCATGAGCAGCAATAGTATCAAGTTCTTTTGATTCAGGTAGATATGTTTTTACTTTCGCAAATTCTTTTTTATTCATCCTTCTGAACTTACTTACTTTGTTTAACTAATCTTCACAGGTGCAGTCTAAATCTATCTTTTCATTATTCTTTTTAACTACTGGCATTTCATCGCCATTATCTAAGCAGTCTTCATCCAATTTTCCATTATCTTTTTTGAGTTCTTGTTTTGATAATTCTCTATTATTATTAACATTTGTATCATCTGGTTCATCTTTTCCTTCATCATCTTCAAGTAAAATGTTTTTGGTAGTATTTTCAACATTATTTTTATGAACTCTTATTTTTTTTCCTTGTCCATTCTTTTTAACAACGATTTCATTATTTTGACAGGATCTTATTTTGATAGCTTCTTCTTGAAGGGACTATTTTCTCACAATAGAATTGCATTCATCCTTTAACTCTTGAAGAAGTTTATCTAGGTCAACTTCTACTTCATCCTGGTCTTCTAGAACATCATAGTAAGCTTGAGAACTTCAAACCTATTACTTTCTTATCTCTATTTCTTTTGAGCTCTTTTTTTTGAGGAGTTAGACCAGAGCAGATATTTATATACAAGGGTAAGTACACAATATTTACTTGTTTATTTTTATACTTAATCTGGTTATTAAGTAGTTTCTTTTTTTCAGAATTATTTCTCAGTGATTTTTCTGTTACTACAAGTTCATCTATTAACCCATTTATTAGATGTTTCTTCTTTATTAAATTTGTTTCTTTTTGTAGGACATCTCGGGTCTTCATAGATTATTTTTAGTATGAGTTTATTCAATATGTTCTCTTCATGTCTGGGCTTAGTCTTGAGTAGGGTTCCATATCTTACTTGTTTTTGCTAACTGTCACTGTCATTTAATGTATTCCTCATATCTCACTTTATTATTTTCTCTTTTAATATAGTGATGTTTTGGGTTTACTGTTTTATCTTATAGTCACTACCAAATGAAACTAAGCAATGTGGTGAGTCAATCGCTCAATAATCCAAATACTTGTGTAACCTACAGTAGGCTTTACTGGAAAGAAGGCATGTTAGATTTGGTGAGTTAGTTAGTTCCATAAGTAGGTATCTCTAATATCCAAGTAGTTTCTATTCTATCCTTAACCTCAGCTATACCACACTACTTTGGGCAAGCTGGACAAATTAAACACAGTTGTACCAAGTATGTTAAGTTAACAAATGAACAGGATAACGAATTTAGAGAAGGTCACGTAAACAAGTATTTATAGAGAGACAAAGTTTATCACTATGCCACTTAGTAACAAACTCAGGTTAGGTATTTTAGTGGTTAGGGAGTTTAGTGAATTTATTATTATGTTATTATAATTTATTGGATCAGATTATTATTGTTTAAAGCGAAGTTGGGAACTCTGGAACTTCAACTAAGGCTATTTCGGTCTTTATTTATAATATTATTTTGGCCTCCCTATGAGTGTCTTATTATATCTATTATTTAATAAAATCCTATATCTCTATTATATCTAATGATGTTTAATAAAATTTTTTATCCAACATATAACCCCTTTGATCTGATTTCTATTATTTAAAATCTGATCATCCTTTCCGGTGACAATATGCAATAAATTGCATATTTTGCAGATTTTGAATTTTTCACGTGATTAGTATCATGTTTCCGAGCTCCGTGATTATCCTTCAGGCTCACACTAGAAAACATGTATATAAAGTCCTCAAATTTTCAATAATAAAGTTTTCTCAGACTTCGATGTCTTGAATATAAGAAAGATATTAGGAATCGAATTCTCAAAGTGTTGAAATTTGCAGTTTATTGAATAACTGATTTGCTTTTATTATTTTATTTTTTCTTTATATTTGTTAATAACCGATTTCCTTCGTTAATTATCCGCTATATAATCTAACCCTGAATAATTATATCATATAAACTAAACCCCGTACTCAACTAAATTGATCAGTAACATATTTATGCTGATTAACCCGATCCTTAATAAACATATCACTGCCGCTATTAATCAGTTAATCGACCCCATCAAATTAATCACCCGATATTTCTGATTAATTGATCGATATACGACGATTAGATTCTATAAATTCACTATAAGAACTACCTAAGTTAACTATTGGTGCTAAACCCGGCACAATTTTTATAACACTCTCCTAAAACAATAGTAACAATATAGATATGGCCCAAACTATTATTTGATTTACCAATTTGATGATAAACCTATCCTCACGTGAAAACTTCAATTGCGAATATCCATACACTACATGAAATTTTCAATATCACTCATGATCGGTAATTTTTTGAAGCAGCCAGTGCATATGGCTAGTGATGGGCATACGCGGGATCACGCATGTAAAATGCGCGTGATTTTTTGGATCCCGCGCAGGATTTTTAATATGATCTCCAATTCAGGCCAGCTGCCCGCATTAACATAATTTTAAGAAACCCAATATGTAATCCTATCCTGTGTATTACACGCAGATCATGTGCGTAACCCGCATCCCACGTGGGATATTTTGGAAAACTGCGATTTGCCCATCGCTATATATGGCCGAAATAGACATTGAATAGATGAAAATTACGGGCGTGGTCGAGGAAAAGTATCCGAAACATTCTGAAAATATAACGCCGTACAGGAAATTTATTAGCAAACCCGAAAAATTTATATATTGTGAACCGGGAAATGTAACCAGGCTGGACTCTGTCTGAGGTCATTTGGACAATCCGCAGTATATATTTCGGTTACGCCGATCCTTGACTTTTATAGGGATCCTGGCATTATAATCATTATAATGATTATAACAATTTTAATAATTATTATAATTATTAAAATGCTTATAATCGTTATACTGATTATAATAATTGCAATCATTATAATTATTAAAATAATTATAATGTGTATAGCGATTATAATCATTATAATCTATATAACGATTATAATAATTAT